TGTTCTCACAAACTCAAGGCTTGTCCTCAACAAACTGTCAGCATTAAGAGAAGTTACACCCACATCCGAACCACTTGTAAAAATTGTCACCTAGTCTTGGTATCGCTCAAATATACAATACGAAGAGATAAGTACTGATATGTACATTTGATTTCGACCTGACCGAGATAGCAAGGATGGAGGAGGTTGCCTCATATACTTCCTGGACACTCTCGCTGCACCAAGGTTGGAAAATATGGTCCATGACAAAATGAGCGACTCTCCATCAGCCACCATAGAGGTGTTACACCACTGATGGGGTGAGTCTACGAATCACCCGGTACCACTATTAAGCATGAGGTTCCACTACTTACAGGCCTAAACATGCATCCTGTCTCCCATACGACTATAAGATCATTCGCGGCGGCTCTAGCATACCTCAAATTAAACGGCACTCATTTACCGGTTCAGCTAAGCATGGAAATGTTTGGGTACAATGGATATTTTTGGGCGGAAATAGATTGTTGCTGTGACCTTGGGCTATGGTGCTGAGGTGACCCCACACTTTCCGAACAGGTCATGTCACAAGCAAGCAAATCTAGGATCCTACTGTGATGCACAATGCGAACGCCTGCTCTAAAGATGCTAAGTTAACGCTCTGTAAAACTTGCAATCGTACCCTATTAGACTGCCGCCCATTTCTTTTGATTGGTGCACACGTTAACGACAAGCTAGAGACAGAGGGTGGTCGAAAACATTTCACGTCAAGATTATTGGAACGTGAGTGCGAGCAGGGACACCATTCTGGATGCATGACCGTAAATACAGAACTACTACGGATGAGATGATGAAAAATCAATCTCATGCTCTTCTTCAGTGTGCCGCACGGATTAACCTTTACAGGCTGTGCTGAGTTCTAGTTAGAACGCAACAGTCATTATGATCTGTGTAATCACTTACACAGCGTCACACCAAAGCGTTCCAAATCCTCGCTTCTTGCCAACTTCTTCACCTCTAAGTTCCCTCACACTCAGGACAATCTTCACATTAATGGTGATGCCTCCAAATCAGTCCCTGAATTTAGTTGGTTACTGGGTAAATTCCTATCACTGGTAGCCTCACCAGGGTAGTGAGTGCACCATCGTTATCCTTCATGGAGCCAGATATGCTAGGCCCTCTTAGTGTTCAAGGAGACATCTACCACGCCTTTGGTGACCACTCACGCCTAGCGTTGAGAGGACTTCACCATAACTTGTCACTTCATACCACCGGTATATTCAGCTCTACCCGACAAAGTGACCATAGGTGAAAGTCCAAAACTGCATAACAGCATTAATTTTATGTACTCAAGTGTCTGACAGCCAAAGCACCCGCTCGCACTGTACAACGAGATTATGAAAATTTGTTATGGGCTGGTACGAGTATACGAGACGTCTATGATTCTGAAATCATTAAAGAACAGTTAGTGACGAACTACATGCATGTGGTCGCTCATTAACCTTTCATCATTATTCTTTGGCAAAATATATGAGGTGTAGCACCGGAAGTATTGGCTTCAAGGTTTGTTTTTCTCCTGGCAGCACATAAGTGATTAAATACGAAACCCTGGTCCCTTCGTTGCGGAGAAGGCTATGCCCCGCTTGCCCTTCTTGTCGTTTTGTGCATAGTTATTCTGATAGGATGCTTCGTTTTGTATGCATACGGCACTCACGTCCTGTAGCGACGGGAGGGGCGGGGACTGAGATTACCTGTCAGGAAGAAACATGCAGTTACAAGGAACCTTATTCATACCTGTCAGACCAGTGCGTGCATGCGTATTCAGGAATAAATATTAGTAACTCGGTCATTATTTTGATTTCCTTTAGCCCAGTTACTACATCATCATCAGCAAGGGAGCTGAAGTGCAGCTTCTTGGGACCCAGACACCGCTAGAATTAAGATAGATTAATAATCATTTAAAATCTGCAAGCACCGGGCAAATAACCCCTCACGAAGTCAGCAGGTGACTTTAGCTCAGTGGGTCCGCTTGAACATATGACCACCGACCCACCGCCAGTAGCCATTGCTGGGGCCTCCTTACGGCGATCAGCGGCAACGAGCTCGCAGTCCTTAGCTCAGTCATCGGTAGACAGATAATTTTAACACTCCTCCGTTATCATAACCTCTTTGTCTGTGACCGATAAATAAGCTGCTTGTCTGAGCGCTTTTTGCTGCATAACGTGTTTTCTTGTTTGCCATTTGTTGTCAGCGCTTGCATGTGGGTAGGATGGTGGTCAATATTAATATGGGCAACAGCCACACAAGTAGGCCTTCGGAGACTTATTGAACGTGTTTTTGAATGGATGACACATAACATCCGCACATTTGCCAAGCAGGACACCTGGCACGGCATCTGGTCTTAGGCTCTGCGAAGATTTTAACGATTTCGAACATTTTAACATATTTATCTCACTGAATTTAGGAAAACCTCCCTATGTTAAGTATGAAGAACTAGACAAGGTAAAATTAGCAGGCATACTTTAGAACCACTGACTAGTTGCACGGATGTTTTCACAGGCTTCATTTCTGAGTTTCGCAATGTCGGTCATATCCATAAAAGGTTTAAATATACCGAAAAGGTCCTTACCTGATACAATATTCTGGTTATACTTCAAATCTGGGCGTTCAATTTCAAGCCTAATCAGGCACTTAAGTCGTTAAACACCAGTACTATCCCTCAGTTCCTACACTTATTCTTTCCCTTTTCTCAGTGTTCTCAATTGCGCGGAAGAAAGTCTGTAAAACCTTAGAAAAATCCATTCAGCTGGGGGGCAAATTTTCGGGTAACATATAATGGTATCCATCGCGTCATCTTAATGTTCGGGACAACGCTTAACAGTGATACAGTCTATAGTGTCATGAGAATGGGTGGGACACAAATATTTTGATGAACACCTTTGTGTATGGTTTGAGGAAGCCACACCCTAAACACACCTCTTCGCAGAATCACACAGATCCTGGCGAAAAATTTTGAAACCATTTAAAGCGGAATAACTGTCATCATGTAAGCCGAGTAACCAAGTTTGCTATAGCGTAATTTTGCCAGAATCGTGTTAAGCATCAGAACGTTGAAGGCACTTCAAGTTCCCGCCTTACCAAGTAGAGATCTGCAGTTCACACTGGGTATTTAGGGAAATGTAATTTGACGTAACGTTAACTGTAAAAAGCGGCAATGGAAGCGGACGCCCTTGCGCTCTTTTTAGAGAGGTAACTGTGAGTTCTTCTGACCAGTTTATTCCTCAAGGTCTCCGAGAGCTACAGTATACCGTAGTCAGAGTTGTTCATCACGATCCTCGTCCCTCTACCTGAGAGCAACTCAGAAATTCTGGAGGAGCTTTGGAAAATAGAAAGAAAGTCACCTGCTAAGCTAGGAGGCAATATCTTCACACAGCGGCTTGGAAAACGCCGTCTCTTCACTCCGCCCACAGAAGGAATAGCGGTGGACTGATAGCAGGTCAGAAGATTATGTATCATACGAACCACTCTTGAAAGATAAATTTAGGGGCTCAAGATCGACGATTCTGGGGCAGCCTTGTTCATATATCAGGTCAGTGGTCTAAGATGAGGGTCAGATCTAGCCTTTTCCCCAGTGTGTTCGCTGTAGTATCCCCTGGCAAAAATGACTAGCCATAGCTCACTCTCTGACTCCTTCAACGGATTGCTGAACGATTATACGAGCACACATGGCTAACCAGAAAAATACGCTGGTGGCAACCGAATACCTTATCACCCGCTAGCAAGCTGTCCCCCGCGGCACCAACGGTAGTGACCACACCTTTCTCTTGTCATTTCTAGCATTACTATTCCTCACCAGGAGTCCTTATTTTCCCTCTCATCATCTACCCACACCTAACTATATACTAAATCTTTCAAAGTATTCTGATACTTCGTTAAAAATAAACTGCGCGATCTGGACAGACTTAGAGGCCAATCACCAATTCTTGATACCTGTAATATATCCGGGAGTGAAACCAGGCATTAAACAATAAAGTGGCAAGGTAGAAAGAGAATACTTGACAGAAGGTACCAAAATATCAGCGCGTTCCGACCAAATGGCTAGGGGGTGCGGATGAACGACGGAACGTGCCAAACTGCTGGGCGTTGCCCACATAACTTCAGCTCAGCCAGTCAGTTAAAACCATGAAGGTCAGCAACAATGCTGACTTTCACTGTCACAGACTATTGGTTTCGGGAAACTGGTTGCCCTTACTCTCCATTGTTTGCTTACAGTGATCGGAAATAACTACTGATCTCACCTGTAGCCCCATGGAACAAATCAGCCTATAATTACCACAAGAAAGCCTTGAAGCAGACAATTGTGAACCCTGATTGATAAGGGGGTAGATCAAAAAGACTACTGCAACCCTTTAAAGAATCAAATGTCAAAACACAGAAGTTAAGGCTTAAAAATTATTGGTTTTCTCTACTTGCATTGCGGATACCGAATGTCGTAACAAACCGAGTATTTTCTGATTTCACTTTTCTGCTTATCTCACACACAGGCTCATGAACAAAAAGTTTTGCTTCATTACTGTTACAACGGAAACATAGTTTAGTGAAAACTTCCTCTTTTCCATCATCGACCACTTGAAATTATCCGAATTCTATACTGAAGGTCTTCTTATCATTATTTTCGTCATCATATCCTCAATAATGTTTCTCTTTTTAGTACGCTTTGCTCATACCTTGAATTTTAGGTCAGTGAATATAACTGTCATGAATTTACACTCACTGAAGAAAAGTAATAAGACTGTATACAAACTATCGTTATCTTTAGCCAAAATATTTTACTTACAACAGCTGCTTCAAAATAATAATTTCGCCTAGCAGACCAAATTATTGGAACTGCTGCAAGAATTTTCACAGACTGCTTGACCAGCTGCTTATATGATTGGAACTTCAAATTCAGCCAGCGGTGTTTAAGTGGTCGTTGTTAGGTTATGTCCAAATGATGCATTTTCGATTATGTACACATTAAAGGCATGAAAACGTATGCATTAGACAAATCAAGTTATTTGTCAAGAATCGAGCGCCATTTACAGGAAAATGAGGTTATTAGATGGCAGCTAATTCAGTTTTTCGCAGAGAGAAGTCGCACAGTTGAAAGAAGAAGTAAATGATATCCGATCTAGATCTTATGATTTACTGTCTGACTGCCCGCATGACAAGACGAATGCTGTCAAAAATCTTGAGGAACAAATAGAAAATTTAAGAGAAGTGATTATCTAGCTCCATCTTATTCGTCTAGGAACTGAAATATGAGTCGATGCTTCGCTCAAGAATTGAAGAAGAGCTGAATGTTTCTCTGAACGAAATAAGATTTTACCGCACGTCTACTGCAGATGAAATTGCATACCAGAAAGAAAGCAAGATGGGGTTGTGGTATGAAGAGTTTACAACCAACCTTTTGAATGACTTAAGAGCTCTAATAAACACTTAGTAAGTAGTTTTCATTTGGTTTCAATTTGTATTAGAAATCAAGTCTGTTTCGTTTGCTGAATCACTCAGCAGTTTTTTTATCTCATAAATACTGAGTAGTTTACATGGGGGACAATGATTTTATATGTCCCCCTTGAAAGTTTTATTTATTTATAAAACTCTGTTAACCGTCCTACTATTCATCATTTGCAACAGTTGATACTCAGTAGTTTTAAAGATAGAGTAGATCTATGTATGGCTGAGGAAACGAAGCTAGAGGCATCCTGTGCATAACTTTTGACATCAGTGGATATAATTTAGGAGAGTGGGAATAACCAGTCAGTTACTTCTCTAATAACCTTCCTGTTAATTGTGCCACCTAATATTTGGGACTTGGAAAATTACCAGTCTTCAGAGTATGGACACCTATCAAATCTAGTGTATCATCAGTGTTATATTAGCTCAGGACTATAGGAAACATGTCTAAGTTAGTTCGTAATGCGCTGTTTGAAAAGGGGAGTGACTTTTCACATCCAGCTAGATTCTTGTCATTTTTTGTGTTGACGCGTAAAAAGCTGTTGTGTTTTTTGCTCCACTCGAAATATTATTCAAGTAAAGTGAGACAAAAAACTCGCGAGTGCCACTTCACCGTGAACTCTGGTATGCAGTGTAGCGAATGTAAGAGTTGGTTCCATGATAATTGCACAAGCCTCACACCCTCAGCATACAAAAAGCACAGCAAAGCAGGAAGTATCTAGCTTTGTACGTTGTACTGTTCGGATATTCGCATCCTAGTAGAAGAAGCAAAAGCACTTCTAAATACGATAACTAAGAAACTGTCGTCGAAAGTCAAAGCCGATAACTGTGACTGATGACGACAGCATTCATTGACACACAGATTGCTGTGCAAAATTTTAAGAACGTCCCACGACAAGTTGTAAGTCGGACGCGTGAACTACCTACTAGGTTTGCTGACAGCGACTTGGAAAAAACTACACCAAGCTGGGTGAAGCGAGTATCTTCTGATTCTCGCATTCCCAGTACTGGCAGATACAGTCTAAAAAATGATGACCGTAAAACTAGGTCTACTTCAGATGAAAGAAGCAGCAGTGAAGCGCTCTCAGTTCCAATGACGGAACCATGCAGGTCACAGGTCATACCCAGTTCGACGACCCAATCGTTGACAAAAATCACACAGAATGGATGCAAGTTCGTTCTGAGGCTCTCAGTGTCAAGACCACTGGGTTAGGCTTTAGTAAACGATGCATGCCCTACTCTGAAAAATGGCAAGTAACTAAGCCTAAACGGCATGCTAAGAAACTAATAACGGTAACCGAGCCAGCATCATCACTCTACATAGCAAAGACAAAGAAGAGATCCTTGACAGGTCCTCAATCTTCCACAGAGTGGAGGAAAACAGAGACCCCGAACCACGTAAACGTTTCGAACATGACCTTGGCAAGGTATAAAGTTTGATAAACCAGCTTCTACCGGAAAGCATCCCAGGAGTCACCCTACTCAAGATATATAGAGTAGGAAAACAGGAAACAGTCATTACTGAAAATAAGTTTCGGCTACTTAAAGTCGTGTTCAAGTCAACAGATGAGAAGAACCAGATTCTGAAGAATGCTCACAGACTTCAAGAATCTGCATGTTTGTGCAGAAGGATCTGGCTCTTGCTGTTCGAATCCAAAAGCGAGAAGCGGAAGCAGGACTAAAATCCGGATTGGCAGCTGGAGAGCACCATCTAAAAGTAGTGGGCTTTCGTGTAGTGAGGTTTCGGCAACAAATGATGTCGAAGCCTCTATGGACAGGATGGAAAATCACTTAAGTAGTTTCGTTGTCTTGTACACAAATGCACGTAGTCTCTTAAACACGTAGGCTGAGCTTAGTAATGTGATCAGCAACGAAAGTACTGACATCATTGCTATCTCAGGAACTTGGCTCTCTTCTTGGATCAGTGACTGTAAAACACGCAAAGGTGGTGGTGTCATCCTTTACGTTAAGAATAACTTGACTGTAAAAGGCGTGGAAACAATTGGAGATGAAAGTGGGACATGTGAAATGCTGCGCCGCCGACTAAAATGCAAGGCGCAAGATGTTGACGTAATCGTAATATATCGAAGCCCTGATTGTGAGACAGCAGACTTCCTCCTAAGTAAGCTGACCCTCTGGACAGATAAGTGCCGATATCTAGTTGTAAGAGACTTCAACGCACCATCAGTTGACTGGGATAGACTAACAACAAAAGCACCACGTAATTCGTTTGATCGCCGGTTAGTGGAAACATCAATTTCCTTAGCCCTCATACAGCACATTAGGACACCAACCAGATATGATCATCAGCATGCTCCATCAGTTTTAGACTTAGTATTCTCACATACAGATGATGTGTGCTATATCGGACACCTAGCACCCCTTGATAAAGTGGTCACGCTGTGACCATTTTCAGACTCACAACAGATGTCTTGTACCAGACCGATGCCACAGCTAGACCCAATGTGTGGAAAGCGAATATGGAGGCTATTAACCTGGCAGCCTCTTCGGGGGACTGGACAGTCATTCCAGAAGTTTTAGTTGAAGATGCGTAGTTCTTCTTCAAACAGTTATATGAACGCATGACCTAACCGTTCACTCCGTGGACTGTTCCGAGGGGACGGGAGCACCGTCCTCCGTGGATAACCCACGAAATCCGAACCTTGCTATGACGTAAGAAAGTGTTGGAGTCATGCCACCTACCTAGGTACACCTGAAGTGGTGAGGCATTACAAAGAAGCCCGCAATAAATGTATCACTGCTACCTGCCGGTCTCGAATATGCTCTAAAAAACGTCTTGCCCAGGCTGCATTGCAACATCCGAAGAGGTTATTTTCCAATATGAACTATAGAAATAAGACATGTCGTGGTATACCCACCCTAATCAGTGGGACAGAAAATGACTGTTTGGTTGAGGACGACAGGGAAAAAGCAGAAGCCATGGCTGGATATTTTGCTGAGGTGTTCACACAGGAATCTTCTATGGACACTTATCCAACGGTAAAAGCATTGATATCCAACAAAATAAACCTTGCGAATATCGATCCCATTGATGTATTTCGGATATTAAGTAATCTCGACGTGGAAAAATCAACGGTACCGGATGGCCTGCACTCAAGGCTGCTCAGATAGCTTGCACTCTATATAGCCGGCCTATTGACCAATATATTCAGACTATCTCGGTGAAGGCACCTCCCCTATGACTGGAAGGATGCCATAGTAACACCTATCCACAAGACAGGTTCTAGGCAGCTCCCATCAAACTACAGACCGATAAGTTTGACTAGTACAGTAGTGAAAATCCTAGAAAGAGTAATCAAGAAAGCCATCATAGTCCACTTAGAGAGCAACACTCTATTGTCTAGTTCACAGCATGTTTTTCGTAGAAATTTCTCTTGCTTGACGAACCTTTTACAGTCAGAGAAAGTTGGGTTAAGTCTAAACATGACAGGATACTTGTAGATGTCATTTTCATTGAATTTAGTAAGGCGTTCGGCAAAGTATCTCATTCCAGGTTGTTCGGGAAACTGGGAAGTTTTGGAGTCACTGGCAGTCTGCTTGCATGGATAAGAGACTTTCTTGTTCATAGATAACAAAGGGTTAGGATCAATTCTCAACTCTCCTCTTGGAAGTCGGTAGATAAAGGAACCGACTCCTAGAAAAAGTGGTGTCCGCATCACCAAGTGACTGGTTCAAAAGAAGATTGGACAAGCACAGAAATCTACTGGAAAAGGATTAATATAGGCTCTCAGCCTCCTATCCTCAAACAACAAATCTGAATCTGAATCACACCGAATGAAGTAGGAAGAACACATTTTTAGTCATTATCTACCCCAGCGTGCCGTTGCTTCATGAAAAGCGGATCAGACAAAAAAATCTAAAGCAATGAGGGGCTAATAAAGCTTAAGCCATGAAATTAAGGATTATGATTCCAGAGTACAAACACCTGAAAGTCTTTATATAACTCAGTCTTTTAAATCCAAAAGAAAACATTTCAGAATATTCATAAATTTAGATTAACTGATATATTTTGACTGCTAAGTTTCATTTGAAGAGCGAAGCTACAGATCACTATGCCCTTTATTTCCCTTTATATATCGGCTAGAATCTTTCATAAGACTTTGCACAGTGTTGATATACAAAAATGTCTCAAAACCCACTCGAATTTCTGAAGATCTTGTGAAAAACGTATCACAACGATCATCCACTCAAGGAGCTCCAAATCATATCCTGTTTTACTAGCCTCATCAGTTCACTGAGCTTCGATTTGTCATTTTTAACATGATTGACAGAGTTAGAGTGGAACCCCGCGCAGGAGTGCATCAGTTAAAGTTGCCACACTTCACAGTAGTACACAAAGAACAGATGGATAGAAAAGGAGTGATATCAAGTGGGTTAAGTAGTATGACAGAACAAATAGTCTGAAGATAAAGGTTAGTGTGGGTATTCAAGTTTGAGATGTAAGTGAGTGAATACATTTGCGCCACTGTGACCTATTTTCAGTCATGTCACTGAGAGTCCTTAACCACTGATTCCTGTCGTCTCGAGGTCCCCAACTAGGCAGTCCGCATTTCCCCACAAGGCTCAGACTAACAGTCAGAGACTTCACTGCTTGGTGCCAGGTCTTGGTTTGGCTACCCTGAACCCTCTTCCAAATTAGGGCTGATACCACAATAGAATAACAATATTCACTTATTTTAAAACTCTTATATTACTGTATAACTAAGGTACCTTCCATTGAGCTGTATGTTAATTACGATGATGCTATTTTATTTTGGTTTTATCCTCCGTGTAGTGGAATCAAAATTTTGATCTCTCAACTGCTGTTAATTTCAAATCTTTATGATAGAATGATCCTACTTTCAAATGATCAGAGTTTGTCAGAAGCCAAGTGTGCGGATAGTACTTATCATATGCACAGCTTTCTGAGAATTTCAAAACACTGACTGGATAATCCAGTAGTTTAACAATAAAATGCACAAACATTGTTGTGGATTAATAGTTGCTTTCAAAAATTAAGCGTTATCCATCATTAAGTATGAAAGGCAACTATTAAGTATTCAGGGTTTCTCAAAATGCATAATACTGATCCACGACGTGTTTCAGTCAACCATCACTTCATGAAACTGTTTGAATTCTTTTAGGACTACTAGCTATTTCACGCCCAGCATATAGCATAAAGGATTTTTCTACTGTCGGATAAGGTATGCATCTCATCAGTAAATATGAAATAAAAATAGGTTCCATTGTTTTCAGTCTCCTTTCAGCACATTAGTTCCACTAGCAGACTTAATAAATTACATTTATTCGAAACTTGTCATTAGCAAAATGATATTTAATCGGTCCTTTTTAGAAGTGTAGGCCGTCATACTGAGAGCTAGTCCCTGATATTTTTGTAAGTGCAGTTGAAGAGAAGAAGGAGGAATTCTACAGACAACTGCAATCAGTAAATGACAATACTCCAGTTGGCGATATAAAAATTCTAATAGGTGACATGAATGTCAAACTGGGAGCAGACAACACAGGAAGAAAACTAATCGTGGGTCAAGAAGCACTCGGTGAAATGAATGAGAATGGAGACCTCTTTTCAAACTTCTGCGCATTCAACGATTTGGTGATTGGAGGTAGTGTGTACAAGCACAAGGATATTCACAAAGCGATATGGATTTGCTTTCACCAGATGGACATACTCAAAATGAGATCGACTTCATTTCAATGTGAAGAAAGTGGAGACGCAGCCCACTGGACAAGAGATCAGATCAAGAAGGAGTACAGTTGTAGGTTCACACCATTCACTATCCAGTGCAAGGAACCTACCTTCAAAACCAAGTTGAAAGCCTTCACAGAAGCTGGTGATGAGAGACAACAGTTCAGGTTCAAAGGAAGTAGAAGTGAAAAGTATTAAAAGAGGGGAAGGAAGAATAAGATGATGTGACTAGGTATCGCGGTTAAGATGAGGATATGGGTATGCATCTTCGCCACTGACATCGGTTCTGAGCTATATAACCTAGAATCTCAAACCACTGGTTTCTCTTGTCTCGCATGCCCCAACCGGTTAATCTGCATCGCTCTACGTGGCTCAAATGAATAGTCAAGAGCTTCATGCATTGATACTGTTTTAGTCTGGCTGCGCCAAGCCTTTTTACAGCCTGGACGTATTTTGGTCAACATTGCGTGACGAGGTAGACGATAGTTAGGTGTGCATAACACATGTCCCTGCCATCTCAGTCGATGAGGGCTCACAGCCGCATCAACTGTCTTACCTATCATGCTTAAAATTCCACATCTGAATTCTGCATTACTTACGGCTTATGTTACGAAGGTAGAAGTGGTCAAACATCTGAAGCTTCTTCATGTCTTCTACCTTTAATGGCTATGTTTCACAGGTATAAAATAGGACAAAGCGGACTGCAGAACAGTGCAATCGACCCTTAAAAGATCGAATATCGCGGTGTCACTACAAATGGCGTAAGTTGGCAAGAGCCAACCTAGCCTTTTGTATCTGCAAGAGATTTCGCCAGCCACTGACCCACCAAGACTGGTCCAACTTCCCAGGTAAGTGAAGTGGTCGACACACTCAACCACTACACTCTCGACTGTTAGTCGGGGTACCGCTGAAGACCAGTTCTAGAGCAACAGTTTGCACTTAGGTGGTGAGAAACTCATCAAAAACATCTTCAAAATGCAACTCGAGGTGTCCAACAGACTCTGCACCTTGTCAGCGTCTTCACCTAACAGGACTACTTCACATGTGTACTTTAGGTCTACTAAAAGTTCTTCTGTGATCAGGTCAATCTTTACGCGGTCAGTTTCAGGTAAACTAGGTTCAAGTGGCTTAGATAGGGATGACTTTCAGTAACCTTGTTAGTACACCTTACTGAAGAGTCCAACAAACCAAAGGTTAAACTAACTACATCTTACCAAGGAATTTCATTTGTTTGCAGATAATTTTATTTTGCTAAACATAGTCAAGAAAATATATTCTTGCAGTTTGTCAGCATCATCGGACGAACAAACAAATGTGAAGGAAATCATCTTTCAGAGAAAACAATCCAATGAACCATTGATCGGTTTTGGGAAGTTGCGAGAAATTGCCAATGACTTCAAGGTAACTTTCATAAATAGATCAGGTATAAATATCAATCATTTTCAAATGGATATGAATAAATTATCATTTTGTTGTTATCACTAAATCTGACTAGCAGAAATGAGCGTAGTTTTAAAAAAGGGGATAAATTGAAATATGTGGTAAAACTAGTGCATGTTACTCAATAATCACATGGTTTTTCAGAAACTAGGCTGTAGACTAACCATGTTTACCTACCATTACATGAAGCCTTAACTGAGGTATTAGAGAAATAAGTCTTATTTTACTATGGAGTGAAATCAGTTGGAGATCTAATAAAAGCTAAAAACAAACGGATTAGTTTTTTATCCTCTGGGGAACTCTTCACTGGCGAAAACCTTGAATATATATGCGTACTGATCCTTCTTGTTAAATGCTATATTGGTGCACTTGTTATAAACAGTGGATTACTCAGGTGTTGTTCCTTAAAGTTATCTACTCATTTTACCTGAGTGAGGCTAAAAGTTACCCCCAGGTGTTATCATCCTTTTTATGGCTTATCGAGTTCTGTGCGCATATGCGCGTAATTTCTGTATGTTTTATGCATATTTTACCCATTTGAATAGTTTTCAAAATGCTGTCTGTCACTGAATCATGTTTCATACCGTTAGTTTATGTGCAAAGTATTGGTTGCACTTCCGTGTCTTAGGTGGGATGTAAGCACAGTTATTTATGAAGAATGATCCTCACAAGTCAAAGCGAGTTGACTAAGACTTCAGATTGCGGCAAAAATGATTTATGGTTACCATTTTCACTTCAAAATATATGCATACAGAACACAGAAAATACGTATTTCCACACAGAATGCTATAACACTTGCGGGTAACTTTTAACCGCACCAATCTCACCGTGGTGTAAAAACTGAAATCAATTGCTTCACCACAAGCCATTGCCCTTCACAATGAAATAACAGTACAGTGCCCATTAACGAATTTCTCTTGTATGAACTTCATGAATTTCTAATGATAGTTACTAGTAACTGACATTCAATGACAGCGGCATCATGCTATAAATTAAGGGGGTTCAAAGTTTGAACTAATCGGCTAGTTGAGTGGTAGTATATCCTAAACCTAATAATGGTATCTTCGATCCCTCTTGAATTTGGGTTTGTGCGCTGTTGAGGAATCTTTGAAGAACTCAAACCAAACAAATATTCAGTATTACCTGGTTTTCAAGGCTTCTCTAGCCAATGTCGATCCATAAAGTTAACGTGAAAAGAAAGTTGACCCACTGAGATTTATTTCATTGTTGATCAAAATGTATAACGGCAAAATGTTAGTTAAAGATAGCCATTATGTTACAGAAGTTGTCTTACCACCTAACACTCAATTTGAAGTGACTCACTGAATAACAATAGTAATAATAATAATGATGAATACGCGAATAAAATTTAAGCAATGAGACACTTGGACTGGATACAAATACCAACTGTTCTCTCTCAGAATTTTATACTTCACTGAGCCGAGAAAATCAGATGACAAACACCGACTGCGAGTGTAAGGAAGACATTTTATTCGATAAAAATACATCATTTATATAGTTTCATGAACATATAAAACCACTAAGTCAAACGTTAAATACTTATTTTGATTGGTCAGCTACAGAATAAATTGCCCATTAAGGTTTTTCCTGACTACACAATGAAAAAGAGTTGAAATCCAAAACTTCTGCCTTAGCGGCTGATGACTGATTTTGATTTCCATTTAGGCAGTTTCTTATCACAATTTAATATGGTTTGCTACTCATTTCTACAATTACCTCTCAGATAAATGAAACTTATCACTTTAAGTATTCTGTAAGCATTCCTATTCAGTGCGCATTCCTCTTAGCTAATCGATGTATATATTAGTTACAGTCTAATACTCATTCTACTTAAATTTGCTATCAGTCTGATACCAGAATAATCTACAGAGAAATAGGATTGTGGATGATTGTTCTAAGTTTACTATTCCTTAAGCTGGTACAGTATACTGACTATTATAGTGGCTGGTTTGAATGGTGTGCAGTAGGTTAAAACACTATGTGTGGGCGTAATATTAACTATCTAGTTATCTGAAAGTTGGTTTGAAAAGATTTGAACTATTATTTCCGTATCCTGGATCTTAACACCTGGATAGTACAGCTATATTTTTATTCAAACTAGCCTTAATGGAAACTCGGTATCAACAGTTACAGAAAAAAGATGCGTAAATTACCCAATTAATCGAACTACAGTCTTTTTTTAAAACAGAATTTAAAAGGTAATCACTATTCCATAACTCGATTTTAAGTTCATAATTTCATACAATAATCATTATATTTAGAAGATGCTGTTTGAGTGGAAATAAGTTATACTAATACTGGAGTGGATGTAATAGAATGGCAGCTGCTGTATCCATAAAGCGCTTGCCTACGAGTAAATCGATGAAACCTGATAATGGATACAATCGATATACAAGCGTCTGTTGCAAATAAAAAATCGACATATGTAAATCAGTGAGAATAAGAAGTGGCAACAGCCAGTCAAGTCAGCTACGTTTTTCCAGCCTTATGGAATCAAATATTTTCAATCTTTGCTTTGTGCACAGAGGGGAATTATAATTAAGTATTCGTTACACTGGTAGTCTCGATTGCACAATTCAAGTCTCCATATTAAACACGATACACCAACTTAAAACCACCCATGATTTTATTCCTGTTTACTTTTATCATATTGTAATTCGAAAATTTCTTGGCTGACCAAATGAAGATTGAGACTGACTTTAAGTTAATAAAAAAAGTGCTTGTACGTGAATGTATCGTCTAGAACAACAATTAAAACTTCAAAAGTAAAATCATATTGCTCAGAGAACGCAATACCATTGAAAAGACAGAGTAGATAACAAGAAGTAGTGTTAGCTCATACTTTTTAGACAGATAAACTAGTCAATAAAATTATTTTCCTGTTCCAGAGATGATACTAGAATTATCATTTCAATATCTAATATTAATATTATTTCTGATTTCAAGAAAAATAATTTGTTATCAATCGAAATTTGATTTTCTATTAGATTGAAGTGGCCGAAATTTGTATGCGCAGTGAAAATGCTATTAAATCACTAGCTGAATTAGAACATAAGCACTCTGTACTTCAAAAACAATACAATGGATCACACCAGTTGACTGAAGATGCATTAAATAAGGTAAGTAGCGAAATCATTCAGTGATCATTTATTTATATGCAGTGATTTTCTAATCCGTTAATAACTCTAACTGAACTCATGATTTATTTTGTATACAACGACAACTTCTTGTACACCAAATTCTCCACGGATTGGTTACATGATCCATCTCTCTTATCCTGCTTTCTATGGAAGAAAAAGTTGATGTACACTATTTATACGATTTGTGATTCATACGATGTTTATACACTCGGAATTATATACCCACTACAAACCATAATTCATAAAAATGAAATGTGATTTTACTCCCAGGAAAGGGAGTATTGTACAATAATTAATTCTAAATTCGGCAGGAAGAAAAATAGTAGTAGAATTAGCATGGATGTATTTCGTGGATTCTCCTCAGCTGTTTTACAACCTGTGTAATATATTGTCTGTGATAAAGAAAACATGTTATACAGCCTATTGTGGTAAATTGACAAGGATTTTTCTATTGATATGAAGGATAACAGAGATTTAGCTTGGCTGAAATTAATAAAATTGCTAAAACTACACAGAAGTGAATTATTTATACAGTGACGGAAGAAAGATCCTACAGAAGATAGCAAACATTGGGAGGGTTTTGTGCACAGTGCTATTCTAAAATTGATAATTGATTCCCTTTGATATGCAATTACTTTTGAAACACAAACCGTACGGAAATAAGTTAGCAGTTAGTGTGGAGCTCTTGCGTTAGGCTGTACACTTTTATCAAAAATAGGTAAATAAATAAATAAGTGAATGATTTGGAATAATCCTACCAATTATACTTGTTTGATGTTCATATTTTCATTTTACCAGTCAGTAAAACACAATGAAAGTCAGCAAGAATGTTTTGAGTGTAGTGCACGCAGTTTCTAATCAAGTACAATCATCATGATTTCGTTATCTTTCTTCTATGCATAGACAACTTCAGATGAAACATAGCAAAAACTTACTAAGGTCATTAGGAAACCATTGTTGATAAAGAATGTTCAATAGTAGCAAAAGCCAGCATATATTTAAGGATCTTCAAAAATTCGTATGTGATGTCTGAATATCACTTTGTTGAAGTAGTTACTGCTAGGAGCCCTGGATAGCCGTTTCACTCTAGTATGCAACTCTTCAACGGTGCTCACCCATGACTCCACCCCACAAGGGACTGAACCCAGGACCTTCAGGTTTCGTGGCCAGCGCTATGTCGCGAAATGGCAGAAGTTGGAAATATGGACCATTGGATTCCGAATCAGTGACTCAATGACAGCATACTAGCCACAAAACCTGAAGGCGTTGGCTTCGATCCCTATGGGGGCACGGTCATAGGTACGCACTGCTAAGAAGTCCCATACTAGGGAGAAACAGCTCTCCAGTGCTCCCAGGTTTTCAATGTTCCTCCAACTGATGTCAATCCATTATGAATAACAACCTGAAAAATTGCAGATTTACTTACTTTATCAAACTTCATTTCAACACATCTAAGTGAAAGTCGAAATGAGGGAAGATAGAGACATAAAGTAATTAATATTCGTAGTCGTGAAAAATGGAGAAAGACAAGGAAAGGACATCCGAAAGAATGGAATATGCATGACAATAAGGTTTTCAAGAGACATGAGAGTGAGACCTGGATGCTATATACCCTATTAATCGGTTTCGGTTGTCTCATCGACTCCAACTTAAAATGCATTGCTAAGACTAACAGTCATGAACTTCATGGATTTTTCCGACATTTTGATTTATCCTTTTCCAACTCGACCTCACCTTAGCCAACATAACAATTAGGTGTAGATACTGACTAAGTATGTAAGGCATGTTGAAACCGAATAAGTCGATGAAACCTTATGATCGACACTTGAATATATACTCATAATAATCGCTGATCCCACCACTAATGAGCAACAAAAAACGCCTTTTGCACAAAAGATGACCATTCTAGCTCAGTAGTCCTATAGATAACGCTCTGACATTTGAAGCAACGGGTTCTGGGTTCGAGTCTTGGTGGGAACACCATCAGTCATTGCGATGCAAGTATTTCCAGTTGATCAGTCCTAACTGGGACAAAATGGATTCCACTGCTAGCCACAATCAAGTAGATATCTACAAAATAGTCAAGAATCTTCTTTTGCATTCCGTAGAACCTGTTGTCAGCGTTCTACAAAAGAGTACTATTATTTCATCTCTTAGTTTCCTCGTTGAATATTTAATCAGATAACTTATGTAGTGGTAAATTTTATTTTAGTGATTATCAAGTTCTGTATTACTGCACTAATTCAGATCTATCATTCGAAACAAAAAGATAAGCTATAATCAACATCTTACGTATTAGCTCTTGTAGTCCGAACAGTATCTTAGCACTGTTCATGCAGCTGTTGATCAATTACTTTGCTTACTACTCTGAACCCAAGCCATTTTATAAATGACTGGATACAATTCTAATATCATCTGATAAGTGAAACTGAAGGAGGTGCCTACTTATTTTGCCAATGATTTATTTACGCTTATTTCCGTTTGCGATGGCTAAAAATCAACCAGTGACAGCAGGCCGTTTGAAAGTTGTCAACACCAACATCATACATAATCCTTTTTCTGAATTATAATAGGTGGCTGAGTTAATATCCCTGAGCGAAACACTAACCAAAGAACGTGATGAAGCAATAGAATGTAAAGAAAATGCTGAAAGTGAACTTCAACAGCTTCGACTTGTAATCGATAAATTAGTTGATGAATCTGGTCAACGTACGCGTGAAGAAGTGGATAAGGTACGCTTGAAAGCAAATGAAACTATTGAAAAATTATTGAGTGAGTTACATCACATGGAAAAGGTAAGTAGAAACTGATTGAATATTTCTCTGTATGCTTATAAATGAAATAGTGCGTTATGCAAAAAAAAATGTAAACATAAATATGGTCATGAATGAGAATGAAGTGAAGATAAGATATGAAAACTAGTTTAAACCGGTAATACTGAATTTTAATGTTTCATGTAGTCAATGTAGAGTTTTAGGAAGTAATTAAATATAGAATTCTCTGAATAAACAGTAATGAGCTTAACTACCGGTGAGATACCTCAGGAATCACTTCGTAAATTATATCTCAACAAGTAGTATACCTCAAGAAATGTGTAAACATTGAACTTTCTCACTAGCTACATAGCAATGTAACACTGATTGAATGATGAGTAGTGACATCAGTTCCGTCTGAAGAAGTAAAATAATTAATCATGTTCATTGGGGTATAATGGTTCACGGAGGTTAGCTGTTAAGAAACACTCAACCTCAATATATGATATTATAAACACTCAATTCATAGTTTTATATTTATAAATAATTATCATTTTGACTAAGATAGCCATAGTGTGGCAGGCTGGTGTCGATGCTGCGTTATGACTGAAGATGAAATGAGAGTTTGGACCGCAGCGGGGTTCGAACCAGCAACCACCGGCTTTCCAGCCTGGTAGTCTCTGGTTCGAATCCCCCGCGGTCCAAACGCTTATTTCACCTTTAATCACCATCCAGTATCGATATTATGAACAATTTTTAAAAGTATTTGACTGCAGTTCGTTCAAGCACAAATGGATGTTCCTTTGACAGGATTTGTAATTTTATTTCAGTCGGAAGTTGAAATATGTGTTCACCGTTTGCAGACATTGCGATGATTTAGTAAATATACATTTGGCTTGTACATAAATGAGTATCTAGTTATGTTAAGTAAGCGTGTTCATTAAAAAGTATAAAGAATCTAAGATGGAAATTGTGCATAAAAGGGCATTGAAAATATATCACACGAAATTTGTATGACCTTCTTTGATCTGTAGTCTGGTTTTTATTACTTGTAGTGTTTTGCAATCTAACATTTATTTCGCGAAATCAAGGCATCCGAGATAATTTTTGCCACATAGGTTACTGTTCTTAAATTCCTGTAGAAGAGAGATAATCTGTCTTTATTCTCAATGCCATTTTATTACGTTTATTAGATACACTACACAGTGAGACTATTATTTGCTGGTAACGTTTTGGATATAATTTACTATCCTTTGTCATATCAAGATTAACTGCACAACCTCAAGGCATAGTTCTTATAGTTTCTAATTGTCTCTGCTTCTTTATGATATGTATAGTGGAATTTTCACATATTTCCAATAGATGCTGAATACTTATTTCTAGATATGTAGAAAATGTTTCCACACCTATCACACGAAAGCAGAGATAAATAAAACTATATAAACTGTCTTAAGGTTTTGGAGTGCTCTTAACATGACTATGAATAACAAATTGTGTCCGAAACTTAATGATGTGTGATGTGATGTGTCTAATAAACACAATGAAATGAAATTACAGTCTACCAATATGCCATGTCTTACTCCTATATTAATGTCTTTGTGTTGTGGTTAAAGATGCAATAAGGTCCACACTTTACCAAATGATAGAAGTCGACTGTCATAATGTACGAAGAAGTAGTGTTGATGTAATTACTAGAAACCATGAGCGGTAGTACATTTTGACAACCATCAATGGTACACGCGAATGGAAACAATGAGTATCTGTCTAATATCTATTGACAATCGTAATTTCTCATTGTTACGTCCAGCTGACGAGTTCCACATGGAACGAGACATGCGTCCTGGATTCCACTACTGACTGGCACCAATCATAGAATAGCTATTTAGTTAGACATCCAATGAACTAACTTGTATATCTCGTTTAATCCGATTTACCAGACACTAAAACAACAGGAGAGAATTGATAACAGTACAAACCAGTGTACTGCATAAATGAAAAGTAGTTTTGTGAAATGCAATGTTGTTATTTGAAACCTGTATCGAGTTTCATACAGCGGTAGCTAATAGTTCTTTAGACAAGACTCAGTTATGTAAACGTTATTAACTAACTCAAACTGTTTGAGATTTCGACCTAGAAACCAAGCTTATTACTCTGTTTCGAAAGTCCAACGAAAGCGTCGGTAGAACTGTCGTTCAACTTACTAATTTGACCTAACTAACTTCCAATCAAACCATTTAAAGTTTATTCTTTGAGTGGTATGTTCTAACAAAATCACTGTAATGCAATAACACGTTTCCTTGTGCATCATCAAATTTCATAGTGAGGGAAGATATAGCTTCAGGAAAGAAAGTCCGCAACACTTCACATAGGTGATAATCAAACTTAATTACTCTTTAGTGTGAATTGCTAGTAACCCATAGAACTATACAATTTTTAGGAGGGTAAATTATTACTGTAGCTTCTAGTGCTATTACCACAGTATGCATATCTGAAAAAAGTTTTAAATGATATTCAGGGGAGTTTTTAGCTTCTGCTTAAGAGAGTTCCTACACTGAAAGCATTTTTCGACTGATTGGAGTGGTAAATTTATGCTACCTAACTCCATAAACGACTGAACTAAGACTATTTGAAAACAGACAGATCACACAGCCAAGATAGATAATTCAGTATCCTCATTTGATTCTCAGCAGTAGCACAATGAATTGATCTAAATGTAAATCAGGCAGAAGAAAAGTAGGCAAAACAATTTTTTTCTGAATGAAAACTGTAGCAGATATCCCTTTGGAATTATAATGTTTTGTAGATAATCAACAAAACTGATGTTTGATTACATAAAAAAATTTGCTTATTGTTATCTTTATGAATAAAATATACTTCACAGTAAATATATGTGAGATTTAGAAGTAGTATTCATCATGGACTGATATCAGTTGGGGAACCATTGAAAATCTTGAAGCACTGGACAGCTGTTTCGTCCTAGTATGGGACTGCTCAGCAGTACGCACTATATTGTGAATTGACAAAAGTTGGAAATTGTGAACCACTGAAGACCGATCCAATGGCTGAATGGTTAACGCGTTCGCCGAAAGACCCGAAGGTCCTGAGTTTGACCCTTAGCCGGGTTGTGGGTGCGTACTGCTGAGGAGTCCATTACAAGGAAGAAACAGCTGTCCAGTGCTTCCAGATTTTCAATGGTTCCCCAACTGGTGTCAATCCATGATGAATACTACTTCTAAATTAAAAATCCCCATTCATCTCAAAAATACATATGTGAAATTGTTTTTTTTTTTAGTTGTACATCATAGTCACTGTTAATACAAGTAGTAAAGTTGAAAGAGGATGATAACTATGCTGATCTTTAGACATTCACCAATCACAACTAAAGTTTATTATTCAATCCAAATAAGCTTAAATCTATCACTTCAAAAGCTAGATTTTTGTTATTAATATGGCTACTAAAGATAAACCTGGTTAGCGGGCAGACTTAAGTGTGTAGTGGTGTCACTTGAAGTTGAAACAAAACCTGAGAGAGATGGAAATTAGGGAGGGGGGACTCAGAAGTTACTAACTTATATCCGGTTCTAAATTAGCCTTCCATTCATTATATCCTTGCATGAAAATTAGTTGAACAAACGTAATAGATTCTAATATTCATTTTTAACTGTTCTTTTGTGAAATAATAAACTACAGTGTGTACGAATTGAAGCATTTCAGTCAACTATTGAAACGGAGAATGATGCTAACCCTTTACTGAAGGTTGCACCAATGCCTATATGATGAGAAATACAGGATGAGTTCGAGTGTCTAAATAAACAGCTACTAAATTTGAATTGAATCGAGTGAATGTAGACTAATTCGATGTTCTAAAACCAGTACCAATTTATAGTAGGTTATTTATTGTTCTAGTTTAATCTTATCCACAAATGATAACAAAAATGCTATTCATTTTATGTGAATATTACCTCCTATCTAACGAGTATTTTAATTTTAGGAACGTTGTCAATTGGCTATTCAATTAGAATGCTGTAAATCAAACACTTTTGGTGATCATGTCAATGGAATAAATAATTTGGGCAAGTCTATTATATTTTTCACAATAAAAATCTTGAAGAATTAAAACTAGATGATTCCCAATTAGATTCTACTAGAAAACGTGCTATAGAAGCTGAAAAATCCTGTGATGAATTGAAAATACAGTTGGAAGCAGAACGAAGCACTAAAGAACGGTTAATTGCATCGAAACAGAGTGAAATCGAATTATTGAATGAAAAGGTAACTTTCTATCCAATCATTATGTTTTCAGCAATAATTAAAGCGTAAATGTACTTTGAAGACCTTTTAACATGTTTATAAGAGTACTGCCTGAAATTGTATAATCTAGTCGTAATTGGTTGGAAAAATGGTAATCCTATCAGCAAAATAGTTAAACAAAAGCAGATTCTGGATGATACAACACATTCAAATCCAGTGAAGTAGATATGTCCTCCAAACCTTGAGTGACTTTACATCTTTTAGCTCAATATCCTTTCACTTTGTTGTTGTTGGTGGTGTTGCTTGGGTATCTTCATCACCTCTGTCTTCTCTATATTCACTTGAAGTCCCGTCTTCGCTATCCTGCCCTGCCTATTCTGTCAACTTGTTAGCTTTCGCCTGCAGATCTTCAAGTTTGTGCGACAACACATTTGACACAAGTCATCGACGAAATCCAAATCTTCCTCTGGGGTCTTTTCATCGGTCCAGCCAGCGTTGGCCCATCTTCTCGCTCCTCACGGTTCGCTGCATGATTCAGTCTACCACAATCAGGAAGATCATGGGTGGTAGTAGACAGCCTTGTTTTACTCCTGTCTTCACTTCAAAAGAATCACTGAGCTTCCCATTGTGAAGTACTTGACATGTGGCGTCTTCATATAGTTGTTGAGTGAGGTTGATAAATGTTTGTGGTATTCCGTAGTGTTGAAGCAACTGCCTGGCAAATTACTCCTCGGTCGACACTGTCAAAGGCCTTTTCAAAGTTGATGAAGTTCAAGTGGAGGGTTGACTGCTATTCTATACTCTGTTCTATGATGATGCGTAGTGTAGCGTTGCAATTTGATCCGCACATGATTTGTACTTCCTGAATCCAGCCAGCCAGCCTGTTCGGGTCGTAGTTTTGAATCCAGCGCATTGTTCAATCTCTCCAGGATGATGCAGTCTAATATTTTGCTTGCTTTAGGAGGACGGGGACAGGAGCGTGATTCCGCGCCAGTCCTTGCAAATACCTAGGTCACCCTTCTTCGGGAGTTTCACAAGATAGCTGTTCTTCCGATCGCCAGGTACCTTCCCTTCCTTCCAAACTTTCTGCATTAGAGGTGTGAGCATGTCCGCTGTTGTCCCTGTGTATGTTCTCAGTGCTTCTGGTGGAATTCCATCTGGTCCTGCTGCTTTAACGCATTTCAGTAACTTTAAGGCGTTCAGGACTTCGAATTTCATCAGAGAGCTTGAGTTCAATGATAGTTTTGTGGCTGCGCTGTAGGTGGTATTTCTAGACGAACTGCAGGTGGTGGTCGATTCAAAAGTTTTTTGAAGTGGTCAGACCGTAGTATCCTCTGTTTCTCTTCTTTGGTAATTAGATTTCCTTCATCATGTTTTATTGGTTTCATGTGTGTTGATCTCTTCCCATATAGCAACCTGGTTATTTGATACAATGTTGTCAGATCTCTGTCTCTCCTACCTGCAGCCTGTTCTGCTTCACTTGCCAGTGTGTCGTAGAAGTGTCTTTTGTCTTTCCGTGCACTCTTCTTCACTTCTTTGTCCAGTGTTTTATACATTGTACTCGGTTCCTCTTCTTGTTGTGCATCCTTTCACTGGTTTATCCTCTGCTTCACCATCCTCCTCTCCCTCCTCTATCAGCTTCCATGTGTCCATCGAGATCAATTCCTTATTTTTTTTCTTCTTCACTCCTAATACGGTTATACAGGTTTCTTTCCACGTAGCTGCGGTCTATCACCAGCTTCCTTGAAGGCTTTTAAATTGATTTGGAAGGTTACTTGCACTAGATAGTGGTTTTCTAACAATATTACTAGTCAAAAATTATTTTCTTGGGTGTACTACAGCTGATGACAGTTTATCATGGAAAGTATACTCGATGATAATGTTTTACAGTACTCAAGATGCTTATGTATTATAGTTTAAGTCAAACTTTCTACTGATTTGACTAACTACCTTTTTTTACAAACTCAGAAACATCATTCATGATGACCTTTCTTAGTGGAATTTTGAACAATATTCACTTTATAAATTGATCAATATACCTGATAAGTATATATAAATGATCACTGGCTTTATGGTGGACTCAACTTATTCAATATTTCAGGTCCCACGAAAGAATAAAACGTTATATACAATACGGTAGAAAGTAGCGCGTATTTAAACCGCAAAATTCTTATTATAATGTCTATGAAACTGATTCATTTTAATAATAATTTAAGTATACTTATTTGGAAAGTGATACGAGTAATACTTGGCTAAAAACAAGTTTTTTCCAGTTTTTCTATTCATCATGGACTGATATCAGTTAGAGGAACATTGGAAACCTTGTAGCACTGGACAGTTGTTTCGTCCTAGTATGGGACTCCTCAGTGGTGCGCATCAATGACCCTACCCCACCAGAGATCGAACCTAAGACCTTGAGCTTCAGTGGCTAGTACGTTACCACTGAGCCACTGATTCGGACTTCAGTACTCCATATATCCAACTCCTGTCAGTTCACTACATAGCGCGCTCATCACTCAATGTCATCGTTGAGTATTTGTTTTCACGTCCACCAGGTTTACCCCACCGGTCACGAATTTGCATTAGAACTTCAGGAATCACCTCTCGAAGCCAGTCCTCAATGAGCATTAGATCAATTTAATTTGGGAGGTTTGTGGGGATTCATTGCTTTTTCAGGTTGGTATTCATCATGGGCTGACGTCATTTGGAGGAGTATTGGAAGCCTGGGAGCACTGGATAGCTGTCATGACCGGCGGGGTAAACCTGGTGGATGTGAGAACAAATACTCAGCGATGACATTAAGTGATAGTCGCGCTATGTCTTGAACTGACAGAAGTAGGAAATATGGACCACTGGATTTCGAACCAGTGGCTCAATGGTAACATGCTGACCACGGGACCTGAAGGTCCTGGGTTCGATCCTTCACGAGGTCATGGATGCACACGGCCGAGGAGTCCCATGCTAGGACGAAACAGCTGTCCAGTGCTCCCAGGTTTTCAGTGTTCCTCCAACTGATATCAGTTCATGATGAATACCAACTTGAAAAATAACTAAGTACTCACTAACCCCTGAATTATAAGCAAGTTATTAAAATGTAAAAGAGCTCTTAGATCCTTTGTGTTCATATGCTTTCAGATAGTTACATCACCATCAAGAAGTAATTCGACTCCAGCTATTGTCAGTTTAAGGTTTGGGAGTCAAAATATTTGGTTATTACCAGTAGTTATGCTATCATAGCTTATACGCTTATTCCAATCGACAGTTTTTATCAATTTCATGTTTATGTATAGTCATTCATGTTTACTCCTTATCATCAAGTTGAAAAGCAGATAATATATTTCCAGATATTCTTACGGATTCATCCGAAACCTCTTCGGAACTTCAGTTGAACATATCTCAATAGCTATCGAAATACATGAATATGAAAAATATGTCATATTATTTAACAATCAGTTAATGTTTGTATTTTCCACAATAATTTTCAATTTATTCATATTATATGGCCTGTCTCTTTTTATTGATTTGTGTTTTTGGTACGGCATCCAGTCTCTTGTTTTCCAACGATAATTTGTCAGCCAGTGATGCATCTAATATGTATTCATGTATTCACTTAGATATTCTTTTGTTCAAGACCAGTGTACTTCACTGAAATCTGCGTAAATTTGTAATGATATTACTCGCTCACTATGAAAAGTGTTTAATTTCTACTGAACGAATGATAATGTTATTGAATAAAGCGATCTTCGGAGAAAATGCATAAATAAGGTTAAATATACAAACTGTCCTAAGCTTACTAATATATTGAAATGTGCATCTCACTTCAGTTGTCTATACTGAGAAATAATGAGTAACTGACTCTAAAGACAATCTCAGGAACAACTGAAATTATAGGGAAACTACCTTTTTAGTTGCAATAAGAAAACCCAACCGATCATTTCATTATTTGGAATTACTCAAAATGATACCTATAAAACTATAAGTTTATCAGTTTCCTATCATACTTCTGAATGTTGATTAAAAAGAAATTAAAACAAAGTGTAACTGTACAGTAGGGGATAGCGGAGAAATAAAACATAATAATTCTTAGTATGTTATTAATGATCCATATTCGATAGGTTTATTTTATTAAAAAAATCAGTGATATATTATTATTCAGTGGGCATAAAAATATTGCATTCAATCACTTAATCTTTTAAGAATAAATTGCTTATGGAAAGCTTGGAGCAGGCTGAATCACAATTTAAACAAAATCAAGATTCTTTTCAAAGAGAAAATAAAGCCTTATTGTATGCAGATATTAAATTAAACAATTTAAAAAGGCAACTGGAATCTGTACAAAAAAATGCCCAACATCAAATTCATTTAGTTAAACAGTCTATGAAAATTCAAGAAGCTGAATATAAATTTAAAATTGAAACACTAGAAAAAGTAAATCAGCTAAGTGATGAAAAATGGCGCAATTTATTAGATAAACAGCAGAAAGTAAGTCATTTGCACTTTGTTTAATTATTTTTCTAGTGGTGAAATTTTTTATTCTGCTTGTAAAATTTTGAGACATTATCAAATAGGTGTTAGGTTAGATATTTTACTGATATATACGAGTAGTCAGTAATGCTTTCTAGCCGAATTCAGATGAGTTACACGTTTAAAGGTTGTTCCACTTATTGGACACCAACCCTATCAATGATGTATGTAGATTAATTTTGTACAGAGAGTTTCATCTTTCAAATCACATCAACTTGGGGTAACTGGTAAAACCCGCAATCTAAGCTAGTCTTTGCATTATCCCTAGCACTTAATCAGAAGGATATAACTTGGCACAATCCAGTTGGAGTTAAAGCATTCAACTTTCACGCTGAGTTAACCTCGGTAAATTGGTGATAAGCTCAAACTTGTGTGAATAACACAACCGTCCAGTGTTTAGGTCACTTTGATCTATCTAGAGAGCACTAATGGCTGATGTTAGTGGTTTCTTATAAATTATGCCATTCAACTTCATGCATCTTAAGTTTCTTCTCTCGACCCCCTTAATGATATTCTTAGTGTCAAGTTGATCATAACCTGTGTTTTGAAAATTATGATTTCACAAGAAACTACAGTAGGATCGCACAAGTGATTTGTGCCTAATTGCTACCAGAGATTGATGTGGGGCACATATATATGTGGATCACGAAGTTCTCATCTCTGCCACATAATTCAAACCTTCAGTTAAGAGTTTTGAGAAGTTGAGTCCATCTTTTGCAGAAGATGAAGTGAATAGTTCATCTACAGGTAAAACGAACTCACGATAAGCTGTTTTATATATCAAAACTTGATTTTGTAAAGTTATCCATCTTCAAAATTAGCTTTCACACCAAACAGATATGACCGTTGAATTCAAGAACACTAGCCAATTCATCTTAGATAAGGGATCACAAGGGATGTGACCTACAAATGCTTTATAAGATATGACAAAGAGAAAGGTAATTTTATATCTTATAGCTGAACGATAATGGGTTTGTTTTTTAAGCTGTAATTTACTTTTATAGTAATGATGGATGGTGGCTAGCACTGGAATGCAGGATGTGCATTTCCGTCCTATTTTGGATTCTTCAGCTGGATGTACTGTTAGCCACTATCTGTCATTACTATATAATTAAAAACAAAGGCAATATCAAGGCATCCTCGCAGGAGCCGATATGCCAATAGAGACCGATCAATACGGTCCAATCAACGATGGTATAATACAAGCAATAACACTGTAATTTATTTTACCTACACGAAATAACTGTTATACACTGACTATTTTAAATTAAAATCAAACTCGAAATAAAAAGGTTATTGTTGATGCATTTGTACATCAGTTGCTTCCAGTTTACAGTATAAACTAACTTCAGAGTATGCATATTATCATTACTGTATTCATTATTTGAACAATACCTTAGTACAGTATGAAAACAAGCGAATATGCTTCGAAAGGTAGTATAACTGTATGAAGATGTATACAAAAATCGGGAATAAAGTAACAAGAGGGTCAGAAAAACAGCCATATTTACATAGAATACATCAAAGAAGCTTTCATTTCTATCACTTTATGTTTCAGAGAGATTAAACATGGAGAAACTGTAGTATAATCTCTTCTGCCTTTGATCTGGAGACAATAAATGACTTCCTATGCTACACAAGATATGCGATCTTCTGACCTTTAGTGAGAGTTTTCATGCATTCATAGATCTAATACTCGTCACAAAATAGCACCATGCTCTTAAATATTTACGTCTTAGAGAAAAATTGAGATGCAAGCTTGAGATTATACTATTCGTATAAATCGTTCTAATTTACAAACATTTAGATATCAGTAGCATAAGTAAATCATAGTCATTTTATTTAGTTATCATTACAATGGAGAAAAGAGGCAGAGGAGTTGGCTAATCAGCTTGAAGAACAAGCCAATGCATTTAGAAGAGAAATGGAAAAATATCACAGGAAATGAAAGCAAACAAGAACACAAAGTTGAAGTAAGATAAAAGTAAATCAAATCTGAACACTTATTTGGGATAAAATCTTTAAACATGCGTATATTTTGTATTGGTAAAGAATCATCGACTTGAATATATCAGTTTTGAAGGTAGGATTCATCCTCGACTGACATCAGTTGGAGAATTAACGAAAACCTAGAAACATTGGACAACAGTATGCACTGACGACCGCGCTGGAGATAGAACTCAGGGCCAATAAAAAACTTAGACAGTGTAATAGAATGTAATTCCATATTACTTCTTTATTTATCTTGATATAACATTTGATTTAGTCAGTAAAATGTCAATCGTAGACAAGAAAATATGTTTTTGCAAGTATATATATATATATATATATATATATATATATATATATATATATCAGGTCAAGCAACTGGACCCAATATAGCTACCGGGAATTACTAGTACCAATAAACAAATATGTTCATCATCATCATCAATTTTGTCACTTCAGTCTGACAGATCTTTCAATAAGAAAAAACTGTTCAGATATACAAGACTGTTTAAATATGCAAGCATCTGATTTCCAGAGGATCCATAGTGTTCATTTCTTTTTTTATTCATTCATGTTCGAGTGTAGATTAGGAGTGTTTAGGGTTTATGTATTACAGAATAACAAAGTAAACTAACCTCTTCAAGCTTCTTCTACTGCAATATCAATACATCATAAACTGCTTTTCAAACCTCCTACAGTAAAATTTTTTACATTGATGAACTGCTAACTTTACTTCTAGAATCTGAGACGTTAGAAGCCACTAGTTTCAAGACTGCTAATCGCATGGTTCAGTATCTGTCACTGAATTGAAGAAGCATTTACACTAAATTTCACTAGTCAGTTACTAAATATAAACCTATATCATACCATCAATTCATGACAGATAACAGAATTTTACCAACCACGTTCCCAATGCGAGTTTTGTTCTGAATATCCTTTCTTCCATAGAATTGCAAACCTGTTGGGTTGCGTATGATGATTAGCAGTACTTTTTAGTGAAGACAACTGAAAGGATTCAGAGATAAATACTGAAGCCATAGTTCTGATTAATTTACTATTCACTAGGAATTTTTTTATCAACACCGTTTACAGTGTATATCATTACAAGTAACTGCTTTCATTACAAAGGTTTTCTTCCTAGGTCATAGGTACCATGATACCGAGATTGACGGAAGAGTAAAAAGATCCCGTTCCCTTCAATTTCTATTCATTTACCGATAATATTGTTATTATTCTTTTGTATCACTCTGATTGAAACTAAATCATAACTTTCTATATCATAAGAATTTCTTATAAAAAGTATACCTCTGAGCCACTTTAATCAATATGTAATAAATGACTGTGAAGAAACACTTATTTCTTCGAAATTTTTTGCCCTTAACATGATGATTTTCTGATTGAATCTTATTTTATTTATTTTGCCCATCTGTCTATTGTATAACTTTCATTGTTTAAATATCGACATGTATATGTGGATATTTTGTTGAACAATAAATGATGAGTGATATTCATGTATTGACAATAATAGTACAATTTTCGAAAACAAATTATTGTTTGAATGGTATAACTGATATCTACACTATTTAGCTCCGGTCAGTCTTGGCTACTTAGAACATGTAGTCCGACAACGTCCTTGACTGTAGCAATGAGTGATGTGAGTTTGGATATCTTGGAGGAAATTGACTCCCTCAAGGTTACGGATACGCCTTGTTGACGAGTCCCAACTAGAACTAAGCCTAGATCTAGGATTTCCTGACGACTGTTCCTAATCACCTAAAAAAATAAGATATTCGCTATTCTCATTTTGATGGTAGTGGTTAACACTATAATTCATTAGTCCCATCCTTGCCTAATTCGACCGAGAAGTAATTTGGCAGCTGCTTCAACACTATGGAGTACCACAAACATTTATCAACCTCATTCAACAACTATATGACGACGCCACATGCCAAGTGATTCACAATAGGAAGCTTAGTGACACTTTCGAAGTAAAGACAAGGAGTAAGACAAGGCTGCCTACTATTACCCATGATCTTCCTGATTGTGGTCGACTGGATCATGCAGCAAACCATGAGGAGCGAGAAGAGGGGCATACGCTGGACCGATGAAAAGACCCTAGAAGATTTGGATTTCACCGATGATTTATGTCCAATGTCACACAAGCTCTTGTAAGATAATAGTTTGGTTAAGATTGAAATTTCCACAGAGCAATCTGCCATCAGAAGTCCTAGTGGGGATCCAATCGTTTTACCGGTATATCACATCACTGAAACTTAATTGTACATTAAAAGTACATCTCATCAAAAACTCTCTCAGGTGGTTTATTGAAATTCCTGCTTCTGTATTGGGTGAGTCGATGAAATTACATATGTAACAAACAGTTCCAGTGAATGGTACACTGGCGAACATGAGGTGAAATCTAAGAAAAACACGACTTTACCGGTGGTGTCAACATCCTTAATGCTATCTATCAATAAACTAAAATGCATAACGAATAGAATGATGGGATATTTGCCTTCTGACTGGTTCCGGTATTTCAGCTAGTAAATGGATGCTACAATGATAAGGAGAATATAACATCCAAAATTGGATGAAGGGGTAATCCTGCTTTATGTATTTTCGCCAATCCATACAGACGTGGAATTACTGAACCAAATGGTTGGAGGCGTTCACAAAAATCAGAGGAAATTAGTGCATCATCCGTCATTTTCTTCAAGATACATATGAGTTGAATCTTGATCTGTGTTTCATTCCTCCCACCTTCAGGTTTATCAAACTGCCTCGACATCATTAAGTCGTCCTGATAAAGGAGGGGATGTTGTCCTGGTGAATTGTCAGGAGTACGTCGAAAATAAATTCACTGAAGAGTCCTCTTTCCTGAGTAATGAGTCAAACTAATATGAATGGATTGGATTTCTGTAAACATATGTATCCCTGATGGCTACTCCTTTTAAAATGAAATACTGTATTTTAGGTCAGGACCAGTCATATGAGCGTCATTAACTGATTACCAATGATTACTTGGGTACATCAATGGGTTATGTATTGGGAATATCTATGTCTGACATAAATTTAAAGGGTTTAGTACAAGTTATTAAAATCAAGAGATTTCATACGACTCCAAATTGCTAAAATCTGCATTGTGTACAGAAAATAGCTGTTAGAAAAACAATTTCCAGCATAATCATAAATACTGATAGTTTCTTACTAGGGGCTTATTAGATGACTTCAGAACTCCATAATCATTATGCTCAATTATGCAAACAAGATAAGTGGAGATAGAATTAGTGCTACAGCTATTTGTGTGCTATATTTTATTTGTTCATCTAATATGGATGAGCTGTTTTCGTAACAACTATTTAAACTTCTAAATAATACTTACGATTCAATGTTTAGAACACTGTATTTTACTTTGCCTTTTTGAAGGTCTAAAGTATAAATGTAATCTAGTATACCTGTAACGCTTATCATAGTAGGTCATAAGACAATGAATGTCCGAAGTTTGATGGGATTCCACAAATGAACTAATTGGTTTCTTATTTCACTTCGATCACCAAGGGGTTTGACAGACTACCATGTGAATTCGGGACGTGTTACTATCGCTTGATTACGCTGACACCGGCTGCCCAGTCAAGACTTCTCATCCGCGTTCAAATCTACTTGAGTTAGAGGGGTGGAAAGCGTCATATTGTTGATTGAAGAGAGATAAAAATCTAGTAATCAGTCGGGTCTAGTAGCTCAAACGGTAGAGCACAGGACCACACACTCAATGGTCGTTGAATTGAATCCTACTGGGGCCCAGGTTTTCATTCCACCTCCGGTCGTCACCCTGTATAAATACTAGTCTGCCAAACCACGGCTATCTTAGATAGTCGAATCGATAAACTGAGCTATGTTGTGAAGTAGTTAGGGACCAAATGCATCTCGTTTTAAGACTGTAGTGCTATCTTCTTGATCATAACATTTAGTTCTAGTTGCATATTTGTCGAGAAAAGATTGAATGACCCATTAGTGGAAACTATCTAATATCGGTGAAACATAACTTCTCAACTGATGATTTCCTGAATAAAACATCTCATTCCTACAGAATGTAGAATTGTACCTGGAAAGGTCTAATTCGTCGGTTTTAGCGAAAATCTATTACCAGAACACCAGGAAAATTAGTTTAACAGATGTAAAAACACAATCTTAATAAAGTATTGACTGTAAATTTATTCATTCTAGCCGAAGTCATTAGCTTGAAGCTGGTGACGACACAGAATTATATATACCAGCTAGAGTTGTTATCAAATGTATCTGTTCAGCAAGGTGATACTTTGCAAATCTCACAGGAAAGCTACAGGTCTCAGTGACTGGACCTAAATTTAAAATGTATTGTATGTTGGAGTACAAGTATTAGGGAAACGAACTTTCACTTCCCTGTATACGCCTAGAAGTAAATTGAAACAAGTGCTGCTTTTCAGGAGAATATGTATTTAAATGTGCAAGACTAAAGTTTTACTAGTTTTATGCAAATAAACTAGTAAATACATTGCTAATCAGTAAATAGTTTAATTAAATAACTTATTCACATGCAAAGAATCCACAGCATAAAATTTATTAACTAACATGCTTTTGTTTCTTTTCATGCAAGGTTTACCAGTACTCCTGTTAAAAACAGCTTTTCCATATACCTAGTTTGTGTGAATATTCTATTAATGGTTGCATCCCCATGCAGTTCATTTGAAATTTGTTGTTCTAAGTCAGTTAATAAAAACGAGATTAGTTATTACTGCATGATCATTCAAGCTGTCACGCACCACATCGACATGAAAAATAGAGAAATAAAAGATGTGAGCCATCAAAACCAGTAGAAAGATAATAGAAAAGTGGATGAATGACTGAAATTCGGTATGACGACCAAGATAATGTACGGACACATCTAAACGCCACTGACATCGATTATGAAACATACAATTCTGCAGTACCCAACACTGAGTTTGGTTGTCGCATGCACTCTAATCTAGAAGTCTGCACTGCTAAACACGACTTATGTCAAGAGTCAGAAACTTCATGCACTGATGCCATTTCTAAGTATGGTCGCCTCCAACCTCTTCTTGGCCTAAATTTACTTCACCTTCCATTTTGCCATGTGGTAGATGGTGACTAGATATAAACAATACATTTCCCGGTCATTGAAGTTGATGAAGGTGTACAACTTCTTCACCTGACTTACCCTTTTCATCTAAACAAATATACCTGACTTTTGCATTAATAATATGGTGGTACAATAATGCACCGCCTACGCAGCGAAGGCAACGGTGATCGGACACTTGGAGCCTTCTCACGTCCTCTTCAATGGCCATCTTTCACAGCCATATAGGGCAATAGAACGAGCTGCTTCACAGCACACTCGAAGCTAAGTAGATGACCGGATATCACGGCAGTGCCATAAATGGCGTTATTCGGCGAAGGCCAATCGACCCTTTGTATTTGAGCGGAGATTTAGTCGGTAACTGACTAGCTTGGCCTGAACTGACCACCTAAATAAGTGTAGTAATTACTGTCCTCAAATGATTCATCCCGTGTTGGTAGAAAACGCGTCATCGTAGTCTGGTTGTGAAGGAACAATTTACATTTGGGTGGCGAGAAACGCATTTGAAAATAACTTATAACATACCAACTTACATGGATAAAATTACCATCGAATCACTCTACATAGACAATATACCACTGAAGCTAGAGCTTATCTTGAGGAGACAAAAACATCTGTTATATCAACAGTTTCATCATCATCATTATCAACATAGGACCAGGCATTACTGCGTAACGGTCCGAGTTGCCACACCTCATATCAGCACATCAAGTAAAAAGGTAGTGAGGTGAAGGATGAAGATAAGTGAATGCAGTCAAAAGAAATATAAAGTACGAGAAGAAAGGAAAGAGGAGTGACAAAATAGTGAGATTCGGTATAGCGTTGTTAAGATGAGGATAATGTGTGTATACATCTGCGCCACTGACTTCGGTTCTGAGCCATATCACCTAGGGTCTCCAACCACTGGTTCCTCTTGTCCCGTGGACCCCAACCACCTAGTCTGCATCGTCCTACATGGCTTAAACCAACAGTCAGAGACTTCATACATTGGTGCCATGTTTTAGTCTGGCCACCTCGGGCCTTTTTCCAGCCTGAACCCACCTCAGCCAACATTGTGTGACGAGGCAATCGGTGACTAGGCATACGTAGTACGTGTCCCAACCATCTCAGTCGATGAAGGTTCACAACCTCGTCGACTGACTTACCTCTTCTCCCCAAAACTCTACACCTAACTTCTGCATTACTCACATGGTGACACCACGGAATACGTCCTATACTACGAAGGCAACGGTGGTCAAACACCTGAAGCCTTTTTGTATCCTCCACTTTCAATGGCCATGTTTCACAGCCATACAGTAGAACAGAGCGGACTGCTGTGCAGTACACGCGACCCTTAATAGACAAACGAATATCACGGCGGCGCCATAGGTGGCGCAAATTGGCAAAAGCCAATCGAGCCTTTTGTATCCGTGCAGAAATCTCATCGGCAACTAACCCACCGGGTTGATCCTACTTCCCAGGTAAGTGAAGTGGTCAACACACTCAACCACTTCACTCTCTATTGTTAACCGCGGTACCGCTGAAGACCAGTCCTGGAGCAAAAATTTGCATTTGGGTGGTGAAAATCGCATCCCAAACATTCTCAAATTCCCACTCAAAGTGTTCAGAAGACTCTGCATCTTGTCAGCGTCTTCACCTAACAGGACTATGTCATCTGCATATTCTAGATCTAAGAAAATTCACCTGTGATGGTCAACGTCTTTGTAATTAGGTGACGAGAGGGAAACCTCCATAAGAATATCTATGATAAAATTAAATAAGAATGGGGATAGTGGGCATCCTTGACGGACACCACTTGATGAGTATAGCTCCCTGGACAACTCACCATAGGCTCTAACATGCCCACAAGTGTTCGAGTAGAGAGCTTTCAATAAGGTGATGTACTTACTAGGCACGCCTTTCAGTGACAGACACTGCCATAAGACTTCTCGATCAACGGAGTCAAATGCCGCCTTCAGGTCGAGAAATACAGCTATTGTCGGGCGTCTGTAAGCATGCCTATGTTCCAGGACCTGGCGCAGTGTGAATATTTGGTCGATACATCCACGGCCAGGTCTAAAGCCTGCCTGGTTTTCTCGGGCTTGCTGTTCCCGAGCTCCACTCAGGCGTCGGAGAATTATAGAACTTAGGATCTTAGACACTATGTTTGTCAGGCTGATTCCTCTGTGGTTATCACAAGAGGACTTCTCGCCTTTCTTGAAGACTGGGATGATGAGTGACTTAGACCAGTCGGAGGGGATCGTATTTGATTCCCATATACTGGCTAACACTTCCGTTAGCCTGACTAAGAGAACTCTACCACCATTCTTGTATACCTCAGCAGGTAGTCCGTCTGGTCCTGCTGCCCTTCCCGTTTCAGGCTACCTACCGCTTTCTCAACTTCTTCTCTTGTGGGGGGCCTGTCTCTATGTCTCATTCAGGATCCGACTGGATAGCGGGCAACAGTTTACGCTAAAAAAGATGCATATTTATATATTAAAATTTAAGATGTGTCAGTTGTTGTACTTCAACTACTAGTATCTATAAAATCGTCGAAATTAATCCGGGAAAAGATCAATGAAATCTTCAAATAGGAGGAAAATTATATCTTACTTGACACTTAACAGAATGCTGTTCACCTGGTAACATAGAGGCGAAAATCCATAATTTTTACTGAAGCTTGATAACAGAAGTGAGAAATTGTATATAAGTTTTACAGTGAAAACAAACCAAGCTCTAAGAAACAAAGGTAATTATATCCCCGCAAATTTAAGAGATTAAAGTAAACTGTGCAATACACACTCACATAGACCTTACTTTGATGCGGATTTCAAAGTTGTAGTAGAAAACTTCATTGACTTCTGCTACATTTCTATAATCAGCAAATTTGCTACCTAAGTTTAATGTAACTATAGTTTTGCAGTTGTATACAAGTGAATTCGCTTGATCAGATTTGAAAAATTGCTTCTTTCGTTAGTTCAGTTAGATTATTTTCAAAATAGACCAAATATGTGTAACAAACTGATCAAAAAACGAAGATAATCCAAAATGTACTGTCAATCCATTCTAAATGCATCATCTATCTAAAACAAGATGTAAATTTGTAGCACGCAGTGAATTTTAGGTGCATCTCGAATACTTTTGTTCCTCAACTAATAAGACTTGTTTCAAAATCTAAACCAAACTATTTGTAGTTGTCTCGATTACTAAATACTTTCTACTTTCGATGGTCCTTCATAGCTTTCACTCTACCTAATCAATGACATACTACTAATTCATATTTTATTTAATTCTTTTTAGTTAAATATTCAGTTCATTATATGAATTCAATGGAATCATGTCAGTTTTAGCTACTAAACTGGCATGCGTAATATAATCATACCTGTGAACCGTTGTGTTTGCATTTCAAGAAATTATTATTAAAACATTTGTCATTTGAATTCTTGGTTGAACACACCACTTATTACAACAATAATTCCGAGTAAACAATAGTTAACAAGCTATTTCTTGATAGCCATCATGATTATTTATTCGTAAATAAGAATTTCTGTACAACTTTTCTTCATTCATTCGATGTATCAATGAGTAAGAAAATATTTTCTGGTGACGAGAAAGGAATAAAATATAAAATCTTGATATAATGGTTGAAGAGTCTGTCGAGCTCTGATATCTGAATCCAAATTTATGTACGCTTCCTGATACACTATCGCCTATTTATTATTCCCGACACAGCTGGTCCACCTGTGCCATACAGTGTAAATATAAGGAGATAACGCGGAGTATAAAGCAAGATGTTGTATTGACAAACAAGCCGACAAAAATGTTTTAATCAGTACAATTAAACAAACGTTTAATTATGAGGTGTTAGATAGGTCAACAAAATGCTGTGAAATAAATGTCGCCCTGAAATGACTGTTGGACAATTAATTGCGACCATTATGCTATTCAGTGAGTAATATCGTCCTGCTAATTAATATATCTAACAAGTAAACTGAAATAGAATTGTATTCCAACATAATTCCCAAATTCATACTGTTGTACATATCACATGGTTTTGTGCTTGAGTGTGCGAAAATAGACACTACTCAACTGCTTGGATGAGTTTTACATTCCATGTATTCTCATTTACATGAAAAATGCTACTATATGGTGAGATATTAGTATAAAAAGTACCATTTTACATTATTGTATACATACAGTTGAATCGATATGTGCATAATTCAGCCTCAAACATTTTAGATATCAGCAGACAGTTGTTGTGTTTTCCTTCCGAGATACACGTCTGTTACGTGAAAGACTAACTTGACGTGCCGTTGCTTTGCCAACTTTTTCATTATGACTTGATGTTTTCTTTGAAGATTGAACATATACTTCTACACTGTTTGTTTTTCAGTTGTTTCTATAATGGTGTGGGGTTTGACTAGTTGTTTTTTCTCACGTAACTTCACCTGATTTGTTTCTTTCATGTCTTCATTCAAATCACACGAGTAATTAGTTTGTGTTGAATTTACCTTAGCGTTGACAAAAGGTGATGGACCAGTAACAATAACCCCTGAACTTGGCGGTGTGTGATAAAACCAACAAACACGATTCTGTGCAGATCGTGGCTTCCGCATCAATGCGTGCACTCTTCCTAGTGTGTTTTTATTTTTACTAGATATTATTCCTGATGTATGCGACGATGATAAAGAATTTTGACAATAACCAAGTAAACAACCTGCTTTACTGGTATTGCTCCTAATTTCGTGCTCATCTGACTTTATGGCAGATTCTTCTGATAATTTTAATGGAGAACTTCTTGAGAATTTATTTTTGATCAAATTATTCTTATGAAAACATGATACATTGGAGTCATTTACATTAGTATCCATATCACCTAAAGCATCATTTATCGGTAGTATTCACACTGGTTAAAGATGACCAGTATGATGAAGTTTTTCTGAATAGTTGATTAAATTCAACGAATGAGCTAATAAAGTAACTTCATTTCGTATTTCTCGTACTTGCGGTGGTTTTAATTCACAAATCTCACTTGTATCCTCTTCTTAGAAGTCTACTATCAGTAAATGTTGTTCTGGGGTTGTTTGAAACTACTCTTTGCCAGATCAGTCGATAACCAGTACGGATAAAGTATGGTATCAGTATTGATGTTTCCTGGAGGAAATAGGAGATCACGTAGTAATTGTGTTTCAGATAGTGCTGTAGTTAATAAACGAAATAAGCGTTCAGCTTGTCGATCAAAGAAACGATTTTTAACACGTTTAAGCCATAATGTTAACAAATAAAGACAGACATCACGATCTACAGTTACACAAAATTTTGCACTCTCTTTCTCTGTTCCAATTAGATTACTTATCACTTCTGGCGTCACTTTTCAAACGTTAAATGACTTATTACCTTCATGGGTCACAACATTTCGATCATATTCGACAGGTCCTTTTGGCATAAACTTTTGGCGAAAAAACCCAACTTCTAATAAACTAATTAGGCGGTTACCACAGTTTGAATAACCCCGACTAGTACCTTTCCGCGCTAAGCGTCGAAATACTAAACACCGTATTTGACTGTTAGATCCATACTTTCCGGCTTCTTTAACAACTGACTTCATATCGTATACACATGGATCATAAAATTACTGAACAGTACTATAATTATCATATGTTGAAGCACGACAACTTATGGTCTGAAACAAACTAATTACGTCAAGTCCAGGTCTGGTATTTAGTAACTTTATACAAAAGTCTTAAAAATCAATGAACCAATAGGTTATCTCTCTCGAAGTACCCAATCTCAGTTACACTAATAGGAGACTGAGGATGGAAATTCGAAGTCATCAACAAGTTAGGCGCAGAAAAGAATTCTCGTCTAACCGCAATCATAGCTGGTTGTGTGGTAGAATATTCATCATTAATAAAAGGAGTTGGTCTAGGTTTTATACGACGTACATAACATGTTGTATTAACATCGACTTCCTGTCTTGTTCGTCCGTGAATCCCAGTTTCTGCTGTATCTAGCAGCAGCTGTAGAACAGGTCGCAAACAAAAATAAATAGCAATTGCCAGTGGAGACAAATATAAGTTTTTATCCCATAAGCTGGGATTCCTCCTGCTCTTTCATCAATGTATAATTCAGGCTGATCATATAATTCATAATAAGCAGAAAGAAGTGACGGTTGAACATTCGCCAAGTTAACTAAATGATGAAAACCATAACAACGCATTCGATTCATTAACCATGGAGTAAGTTCGTGATCTCTTGGATATATTTCGGTAACGAAGAGTCTTAAGATGCTTGATCACTTGAAACAACAATGAAATCATTTGAAAATTGTTTACATCCTTTATGATAATTTTCTACAACTGTCCTTGGTTCACGTTTGGAAGAATACGCCATTAAAGAAAGAAGCAGACGAACTGCTTCACTCTGAATATACACGTATATTGACTTGACCAATAATTCGATTGATAACGATTACTTGATCAACTCGTTTAAAAAATACGCTACGCTTACAATATCTAGTCAAGAATGCAAAGCATCAATAAACTCACTTCCCTTTAAAACTGGTGGGCTATTACAGCGGATTTATAATAAACCAATAACGGATTCATAACCACTAAGTCGTACCCACGAACATATCGACAGCAAGTAGTTGTATATCACCGAAAGAAGTAAAGTATCAACTAAGTAAGTTATCCTACTAAGTGGAAGTGGATAGGAAATCGCTGAAAAACAGTAACAATCATTTAGAAAATATAATGCTTTAACTAAGACAGCGAAATGATTCGTGCCTGAGAGTTTGTTTCTAGTATGGAATTATGAAGCATTGAGAATTACTGTCAATAACTTTTGGTAATAATAATATCAAGGTACGGCTGCATCTTTAGTGAACCAATATTGGAAAGGATTAGTTTCCATTATTTGACTTGTTACTTTGATCTTTGAAGACATGGAACTTGATGACAAAGAGATATAAGGAATTATCCGAACTTACCATCTGACTGTTGCAAACCTTTCGCTGGCAAACATAATTTGATTCTTGTTGTGCTACTTGTAGCAATAATGGTAATAACGTTAACAGGATGAATAAGATAAGAACTTCATGAAATACCATGAAGGTATCATTACGGTCTAGTAAGATGCAGGAAAGCTATACGTTGGATTCATTCCAACATCACACAACGGTATCTCATAATGCACTATGTGCATCAAAATAACTCGACATGAATTTGGCCAAGTGATTATCACACAAGTACTTGCAGAGATTCAGATGATGCGATTCATTTCAATTATTTCACCTTACTGATATTTCACTGAAAACAGAAGGGGTTCATAGGATTAAAGGATATAGATGAACAAATGTGCAACAGAAGACTACGAGATGCGATACAACCGACTTACATCCTAATAACCAATGACAATCGCTATATTACAGACATACCCTAAATAAACTGGGTGTCTTTCAGTGACAAAAGGGTTTCACAATAAGAAAAAGCGAAGAGCAAATGCTACGAAGGTATGGTTCACGCGGATCCTCATAAAAATTGAGTGGTTTTACGCGAGTCACTGTTTCGGTTTTATTTTAACTAAATGCTAATTAATCTACTTTGACTATTGCACAGCAAGAAAGATAGGATGATTAAAAAGCATTCCTAACTTTGATTAGTGAATGACTACAATGAATTTAAATGTTTACGACTACCTGTCAATTAAATAAATGGTTATTCCAGACAAAATTACTTTCCTAGGTTTCTGTTGTTACATTTGAGCAACAAAAAGTTCAGTTCACAACAATGTCATAATATATCCGGATTACACCCCGTTAACTCAGTTACAAGAATGAACGGTGGTCTATATTTCACAATGAGGTTGGGACACCGTCTTTATTATTCGAACCAATAGACATTCTACCGTGACTGCCTTTACGGAGGACAGCAAGAAAATATCCAAAAGCCGTGGTGAGTCATATTCTAGTAGGGTACCGGTTCTCCCACAGAGTGGTCATTGATTGGAACTTGCTACCGAAACAAGTTGTAACAGCCCCTTGGGTGATCGTATTCAAGGAAAAACTGGACCTTCAAAGAGATCATTATCGCAAGAACTAACACTGGCTGATAGCTTACTATCATATTTACTGAGGACGGAAGTATTGAGACTGTGAAATGCAATATAGAAGCTAGTTACGGTCTTTAACACTTTTTACAGCAGACCGGAGATGGTAACAGGCTTCTTACGGATGAGTGGTGTTTATCTGTTCCTGTAACTATCCCAGTCAGTTTTTCGCTGAAAGCAGTCTTAGTACTCTCATCGTCAAGCAGCACTCACAATGGTCTTGTTGCTGTAATTTTTTCCTACCCATTTGAAACAGACGCATATGCATGCATGTGTCCAGTGCATGTTCACTGTCCAAAATGCTCCAGGAGTGGCAGCTTCCCACCCTATCCAGTCATAATTGATAACAATGTCTATCTGTGTTTACCTTTGAGTCGAAGCCAGTGGACCCCATATCAGACAATGGCTTCCTTTATTTCTAACGTTCTTATTGGCCAGAAATACATGGTTTTCTGAGCATAGTTGTATCAGGGGATTGCCGTTATGTCTGTTCGGCTGGGATTCTGAAAGTGCTAACTGAATGTCTATCTATCTGACTTAGCCTACCCACTTAAGTATTGAGATCAGCTGCAACGAAAACCACGTCCAAACGTTTGACTCTCAGTAGGAGGTTGAGCTTTAGGTAGAATTCATTCTTCAGTTCTTCCGAATAGCAGTCAGTGACTGAGTAAAAAACAGCGCTAAAGACCACAACTGACTCCCAGAAAGTGGTTGGAAAGAGCTAATGGGTTTTATCAGCTTCTGAGTAAATGGATACTCGCGAAAGGATCGCTGAAGGCTCTGAGGAGTGAAAGCGCTTTAAATGTAGACTAATGAGAAGTCTGTGCAATGACCACGAGTAGTGACGGGTTGTGAAGGCAAAATTGGTCAAAAAGACCGCAGTGATGTGTAATAACAGATATTTATTTAGACTTGTCGAGGAAACTGGGACAAATAAATCAATAGTCGATGAAAAGTAGCAAAGAAGGATGATTCTGAGGTTCACTCGCGGGGAAGCGACTAGAACGATAGGTAGGACAGTTCGAGGAAATGTCCAACTCACCTCCAGCTGCCATTACGTTGCTCACTATCTTATCGGAAACTAAATGAAACATTTAGACAGCGCTTCCACCTCTTGCAGAAGTTGAGAAGGCTGAAGGTAAGCTGAAACGGGGAAGGGCCAGGTGGGTTAGGACTGAAGGTATTTCAGCACTATTGGTTAGACTAACTGATGTTGGCTAGCGTATGGGAATCAGATATGCTGCCTTTTAACCAACCCCAATCACTGATAGTACCAATTTGACTGATATTTTGATCCGATTTTTGATCAGATTATAAACATCCAGGCCATAGTTTTTACGAATGTCCTGAAAGAAGTTGAGCGCCGAGTCAGGTTGATCCATTATACAGGTAAGTTTTTGTATAATCCCAGCGTGTCCAGAAAATCTTGTTTTCGATTTTCTAAACACGCTGGGAATATATAAAAACTTACCTATATACTGATAGTACCAGTTTTCAAGAAACGGAAGAGATTATCTCATGACAACCACAAAAAAGTTGACCTAAAGATTTTAAGTTCGATAGTTATTAGAAGTTTAAGTGGAGCTTGGGAACAGAGAACTCAAGAAAAACCAGGCAGGTTTCAGATCTAGTTATGGGTACATGGATCAGATATTCACCCTCCACCAAGTTCTCGAACACATGTACTGAATTTTTTTTGAAAGAATCACTCAAAATGACCGAGTTAGGTAAGCCTCAGAAATTCATCTAAATGAAGTTCGGAATTGCCAGAAACGTCGCTCTTCGTTTCACTAGTTCACAGTAGAAGTTGATTCTTTTCGGATTTACACACGTTTCCCTGTGCAAAACAATAAAGATGTAGGATAAAATCACAATTTCACTATCAACGTTACTTCACTCTAACAATGGGGAAGTAAGTTAATATTTCAAAAATTAGTAACTGCAAAGAGGTTTATGTATCAGGTTGTGAGCAACATCCAATTCGAGCTAACACCACTATTTGGATTGAATTACGAACAAAATATTTGCAGCAGTGAAAGTGATTAGAAGTTAGTCTCATACACTGTCCTCCCAGAATTATCAATAAGTGGCCAACAGGAAAGTGAAGTGCATGCACAGGTTATCTTTAGACCACTTTATCAAAACAATTTACTTTTGAAAAATATTAAGGATACATTAAGTAGCAGATACTTCGAAGCAACCTTACATTGTGAGCTTTCATACTCTTCAGTGTGATAACGATAAGATAGTTGGTATTCTTCTACGAGTTTGCAAGCACTGTCAACACTTGCAGACAGCATAGAGATACTACTTAAGATGGTCAAGAAACAATACGGTAGTCTTTTAGATAGTCATCTACTTCCACAATCAACGAAATGGGAACTGATAATGTGTATATAGTGTGACTCTGTCTTGTACAGATGTTTATGTACTAAGCAGTGAGCTTTATTAATTGCAAGAGCTCGAGATGGTACCTAGTTATTCACGCCAAAGTGGGGT